CCCCCCCCCCCCCGGCAGCTGCTGTGGCCGTGTCCAGGGGGAGCAACCTTCCCCCTGGACCTACCTGCTGCCGTCCCGGCGGCCTGTGCTGCACAGGGGCATCGGGGGAGCCTGCAGGGACCCCGCAGCAGGGACGGGGCAGGGGCAGGGGCTGGGAGGGGGGGTGCTGGGTCCCCAGGGGCTGTGGAGGGGGTGGGTCTGCCCAAGGCAGTCCCTGCGCTGCCCTCACAACCGGCAGCGACTCTGGGTCTTCGCAGGGGACGTCTCCAGCATCTCCGGCTCGGGCTCTGGCTCCAGCTCCGATTCCAGCAGTGACTCGGACGTGTCCCCTCCCCGGGGCGGCCGGCCAGAGCCCCCCCAGGGCCGGCGCTCCCACAAGGTGCTGTTCCGCAACACCCAGGGCCAGCTCCTGGCCGCCTACCGCTGCGTGCTGAGCGCTGCCCAGGCAAGTGACACGCTGTGACCCTGGTGCCCCGTCTCCCCCGTGGCCTCAGCCCTGCTCATGCCGACTCTGCAGGACCTGGGAGAGGGGCAAGCCCGGCTGGGGCTGCGGCTGTTCCTGGGCCCTGCGTGTCCCAGGGCTGCTCCCCATGGCCTCGGCTGCATCGCAGCGGGAGGGCAGGGGGGGGCCTGGTGCCCGGGTGCGCTCCCAGCCGCTCACAGCAGGCTCGGTGTGGCAGGGCAGGAGCGAGGAGCCCGAGGACCTGGTGGCGGCTCTGCGGGGCCTCAGCCCGGACACCTGCTGGGTCGTGCTGATGCTGGGCGGCGGGCACTTTGCTGGTGCCGTCTTCCGGGGGTGAGTGCGGGCTGAAGCGGCCTCTGGGGACCCCACGGGTGAGGAGAGCCTGGGCTATGATTTGGGACCCCCCCTCCTCCCTGGCAGGTCCCAGGGATGCAGCTAGGGTCCAGCCTGTGGCTCCCTGCACCACAGAGCTCTTCAGTCTGGCTGGGCCCCATCCCTGCCCCGTGCCCCCAGCTCCCCCTTCCTGGGGCCAGTGCCTCCCAGCTCACGGAGCTGGGAAGAAGAATCGGGCATCCAGGCCCCCGAGCTGGCATCTCTTGAGGTCTGGCCGGGCTTGAGGGATGTCAGCGCTTTGCTCTCTACAGGTCCCAGGTGCTGGAGCACAAAACTTTCCATCGCTACACGGTGCGGGCGCGGCGTGGCACGGCCCAGGGGCTGCGGGACGCCCAGGCCCCCGGCTGCATCCCCCGATCTGCCGGCGCCTCCCTGCGGCGCTACAACGAGGCCGCGCTGCTCAAGGTGGGTGAGCACTGGGGCAGCGCGGGGGCAGGAGAGGTCTGGCACAGGGAACGGGGCAGGAGCCTAGACGGCAGGGATGGGTGCACGGGGGACCATCCGTACCCCTATCCGGTGAAGGACCGTGTCCCCCTCTGCCCCAGGCTCTGGTAGTGACCCCCCCGGTCTGGTTACTGCCTGGGGGGAAACCTCCCACCACCCCCAGCTTTTAGAGCTGGGGTGCAGTTCCTGGGAGCTCCTGAGCGCTCTCGCTCTGCCCCGCAGGACATCCAGGAGCTGCTGGCCAGCTGGGAGCCACACCTGCAGGGTGCCCAGCGCATCTTCCTACGCGCCCCCCGCGCTGCCCGCGCCCTGCTCCTCGGCGGCAGGAGTCCCCTGCTGCCCCGGGCCTCCCCACACATCCACCACGTGCCCCTCAGCACCCGCCGGGCCACCTTCCGCGAGGTGCAGCGTGTGCACAGCGCCCTGGCCACCCTCCAGGTCTACGGTGAGTCCTGGGCGGAAGGGGCTGCCCTTGCTCCTGACCTCTGCCCTGTCCGGCCTCCAGCAGTGCCAGCCTCATCCTTCATCCTCTGCTCTGGCCAGGGATGGGAGGCTACCGGCTTCCCCCCGGTGGTGGTATGGGAGTGGTCGGCTCACCCCAACCCCTTGTCTCTGCTTTTGCTGCCTAGAGGAGGGCAGCAAGGAGGCTGGGGTCTATGAAGGGGCTTCCCTAGGAGGAGAGACTCACGAGGCCAGGCCTGGGCAGTCCAGGAGAGACGCTGGATGGGGGACTCTGTATCAGAGCTGCCTGGATCCTGGATGCTGGAGGTTGCCAGGGGGAGAGGAACAAGGGAAGACCCTGCTCGGATCCAGTCTTCTCCCTTCCAGCTCCGCTGTCTGCTGCTCTGTTTACATGGGCCTTTGCGTAATGCCCCTGGGCGGTGGCCTGGGCCCACCGAGTAATACTAGACGGCTCGCTGGAGAGAGGCCGGTGAAGACATAGCAGCTGATTTCCTGGGACAACTAAAAAAAGAACAGGGACAAGAGTGAGGTTACAGGTTTATAACGAGGGGGCAGAGTGTGCCGCACAGCCCCCACTGGCCCTCGGATGGGTTCAGGGAGCTGGCAGACGCTGTTCGGTGATGCTCTGCCCAGAGATGGGATCAGACCAGGGACAGAGCAGACCCACAGCCTCCGGGGACCCCCGGCCAAAGCCGCCTTCCTGGTAAAGCATGGCCAGACTGTCCTGGGCCAGGAGGAGGTTGCCTAGGAGGCCAGGGGGCCGCAAATGGGGAGTGCATCAATAAAAAGGCGCGGGGAATGGCGCAGCTAGAGCCTGACCGGAGGTGGTGGAGGAGGCAGAGCAGGGCCTGCAGCCTGACGCGCTCCAGGGATGCATGCACCGGGGTCTGTCTCTGCTCGTGGCAGAGGCAAGGGTTGGAGGCGTCCGTGCGTTGCACAAGACGCGTCCGTGGCCATGGCTCCGGACAGGAGTCGCTAGCTGAGGTCCTAGTGGCTCGCAGGATCAGGGTGGAATGTACAGGCTTGTCCAGCCTATACCCTCATCCGTGTCGAGCCTGTCTCGGCGCTTGGTGTTGGGTGGGACACAAAGGCAGGCTGGGGAGGTTGTGGAGCCGCTTGTGCAGAGCTGGTAGCACTGGGCAGATCAAAAGTGGACCGGTTTGGCATCCCCCAGGCTGCTGCAGTGGAGGCAGGCTGCACTGTGCAGCCCCATGACAAGCTCTGGGGTCTGCAGAGGTCCCGGGGGGCAGGTCAAGGCAGACCTCGGTCCGAGCCAGTGCAGGGCAGCTCTGATGTCCTGGCAGCCTCCACCCCTGACCCCAGGGCTGCAGGCTGGGGGGATCTGGGTTGCTGGTCCCAGCCCTGTGGCCCCAGTAACCCCTGTGCCACTGCCCCACAGGGAAGGACACATCAGTGGCCGATCTCACCAGCTCCCCCCGGAAGGCTTGGAGGAAGGTGCCGCGGGCTGGGATGGAGCAGGAGGAGGCTCCACAGGGTGAGCGCAGCTGCAGGGTGGGGTCCAGCGGGCAGGGGCAGGGGGAGCCTGGACCTCAGCAGGGGCAGTCAGTGCCAGCCCTGCCCCAGGCAGCCTCATGGGTCCCAACTGCCAGGGAGGGCACGTTTCAGCAGGGGCAGGAGGGACTGGTTCCTCCAGATCATGCCCCAGGCTGGCAGGGAGAGCTCGGAGGGGAGCCGTGATTGGAGCCCAGCCCCGGCTGTTTTGCCCCCCGCAGCCCCGTCGGAAGAGGAGGATGAGGACGCAGATGCAGAGGGGGGGAGCCTGTCGGGGGAACTGGAGACGGTGGAGGTGACGCTGGGGACTCTGGCACTCCGGGAGTTCGAGGTGATGCCCCGGCGCCGCCGGAGGAAGAAGAGGAAGGGGCAGAGAATGGCTGGAGGTGAGGATGGAATCAGGGTCCCCGGGAGGTGGGGGGGGACTTGGGGCAGGGGGCCACGTATCTAACACCCTCTGCTTGCCCCTTCCAGGATCGGAGCCGTGTTCCGAGGAGCCGGGAGGCGATGACGGCCCGGAGGCCTCGCAACAGCAGCCAAACCCAAGTGCGGAGCCTGGGTCACAGGGAGGAGGTGAGTGCCCTCGCTCCTGGGACCCCCACCCTGCTTTGCTGATGGGGGCAGAGTCCCCAGGGCATGAGGCCTTGGTGCCTCTTGTGGGCTGCTCCTCTGCTGGCTGCCTGTGGCTGCTCCTGGCCCGGGGCCCTTGTGCTCTGGGGTCCTGGCTCTGGCACCAAGTTGGGGGCTGCAGGGAGCTGGGGGGTGCTGCAGGGGGTCCTGCTGGGCAAGTGCTCCCAGCTGCGCCCTGGAGGGTCTTGGCACCATGCAGGGTGGGGAGTCCAGCTAGTGACCCCCATGTCCCCCCCCCACCAGGAGCTGCCTTCACCGAGCTGCGGGACGCACTGTTCACGGCCTGCAAGACAGGTGACGCAGAGACACTGCGGCTCCTGCTGGGAGCCCCCGTGTGTGCATCGGAGCAGCCTGGGGGCCCCGCGCTCCTCGCTCTGCTCAACGCGCCCATCCACGCTGGCGGCTTCACCCTGCTGCATGTGGCGGCGGCTGCAGGGCGGGGGGAGGCCGTGCGGCTGCTGCTGGAGGCCGGCGCTGACCCCACAGTCAGGTAAAAGCCCCCTTGCTGCCACCACCCACAAAGCAGATGGCATCACTCCCTCTCCCCAGTGCCTGGCCAGGCCCCGATAGGTGCACAGGGAGGGGGACAAGCTGCCAGGGTCCCTCTGGGGGTTGCTCAGCAGGGGCTGGGCCCTGGGGCAGGTGTGGAGGTGGACGGGGGGACAGATAGGGTGGGAGAGGCTGGGTGGTGCCATCGGGGTCCTGAGTGGGCTGGTGCTCGGTCCCCAGAGATGGGCGGGAGAGGCCCCCGTACTGCGTCTGCGCCGACAAGCCGACCCGCAGTGCCTTCCGCCGCTTCGCGGGGGAGCAGCCGGACCGCTATGACTACGCCCAGGCCCAGGTGAGTGCCCCTGTCCCTGTAGCAGGGCCCGGCTCTGGGCCCAGAGACCCCTGGCCCCCTCGTTCCTGGGCTTGGCCCGTGCCAGGGGAGACCATGTCCATGTCCAGCTCCATTTTGCCGCCTCCTTCGCCTGGCCTGGTGCAGAGCAGCTCCACCTCCCAGGGCCCCTGGGGCGACAGGCCGTGCCATGAGGCTCGGTGCCCTGCTGCTTAGAGCTGCCGGGAGGGGGCTCCAGGCCTCACCTGCCTGCCTGCCTGCAGGTCCTGGCGCCGCTCAGGCCGGAGGTGGAGGCGCAGCAGCTGGAGCGGCGGCGGGCGCAGCAGGTGCGCCGGCGGCAGCGGGAGCAGGTGCGGTGGGCTGAGCAGCGGCGGCAGGAGCAGGAGGAGGAGGAGAAGCGGCGCTTCGCCGCCCTCCCCGAGCGCGACAAGGTGCAGAGCCGTGGGGCAGGGTAGGGCAGGGCACGGCTGGGCGGAAGAGGGCCCGCACCCTGGTGCTGATGCCCCTGTGCTCTGCTCCGCAGAGGGCCCTGGCGGCGGAGGGGGGGCTGGCAGCGCAGCTGCAGGAGTCCAGCACGGCCCTCCCCACCTGCAGGTAACGGCCCCAGCTCCAGGCCCGGCCCCACTCCCAGGTGCGCAGGGGAGTGGGGTGGGAATCTCCTGGCTCCGGCTCCCACGGGGTTCCAGGGCTGTCATATCCAGGCCGGGCCGTCACATGCTCCATCTTGTGCCCTCTCTCTCTCTCTCTCTCTCCCCTGGGTCCTGCTGGACGCTGCTTCTCGGCACCAGCTTATTGGTTCCAGAGCCAGCGCTGCCCTTTGGCTCCCACAGCTGGGCCAGTCCCTGGCCCCCAGCGCTGTTCCTCCTTACCCTCGTGGCGGGGCTGAACAGGCCAGGCCCTTTCAGCTCCTCTCCCTGGATCCCTATGCACTCCCTCCTGTCCTTGCCCCGTTCCTACAAAGTCCCCGGCTCTGGGTTCCTGCTCCGGTGCCCTGGCCCACGCCGTGCTCTCCGGCCCCCACAGGCGCTGCTGGCAGTGTGGCGAGTCTCTGCTGGGCCGCGTGCCCTTCCACTACCTCGACGGCGCCTTCTGCTCCACCGCCTGCCTGCAGGCTCACCGGAGGGCACGAGCCGGCCCACACTAGCACCAGCTCCACCCGCCGGAGATGGCTCTGGCCTGCTGGAGAGCTCCCAAGGGGGCTGGGCTGGAGCCTGGGAGCAGGCGGGGGGAGGAGGAAAGGCCCACGACCCTTCATTTGGGGGAACCTCACACCCCAGCTGGACCAGGGCCCCCCGTGCCGTGTGCCCAGGGCCAGCTCCGCACTGTGATCTGTGGCCAATAAATGCACACGTACACGGAAGCTGTGCTGAGGGAGGACGCCCCGTTTATTGGGGCATGGGCACGTCCCGGGAGCTGCTGGTGGCATTGAGCTGGGGTCGGTCCAGGAAGAGGATGTCGGGCTGGGCTGGTGCATGCTCCAGCTCCAGCACCGTCACGTTGTTGGGGCGCGAGGGGCTGAGCAGCGAGCCTGGCACGTACAGTGTCTGCTGCGGCCCACGGCTCGCCCAGTACCGGCCCAGGTTGAAACCGTTGATCCAGAGCTGGCCCTGGGGGAGGGCAAGGTGTCAGAGCAGGGGGACACGCCCTGGACCCCCTGGTCCCTCCCCAAGGTGGTACCTTGCTCCAGCCTGGCAGCTTCACAAAGGTGTCCCAGGCGATACCAGGGGTGCGGAAGGCCCCAGTGTAGATGGCCGGCCCTGTGCTGATGCTGCTCCCTGCGGTCCGGGGTGTGGTGTGGGGCCAACTCATGGCCACGACTGCATCCACGTCCAGCGGGTAGATGAGCCAGTTGCTGAGCGGCACTGAGGCCAGGCTCAGGTTCCCCAGCAGGCCCTGGGTGGGGGCAAGGGGCAGCGCGGGTGGGGCCAGAGCAGAGTCCAGCCAGCTCCACCGTGGTGGGGTGGGGGTACGGGGCTCTCTGCTCCCACTGTGCCAGGGCTCTTGGGGTGCCTGTGGCTGTGCCTCCACAGCTCCCAGTCCCGGGGCCCTGTCACAAGAGGCCTTTTCCAGTGGGGGGAAGCCTGACCCAGGCGACAGTGGTGTTGCGAGCCCCGGTCTCAGGACAGGTGGTGCCCACCCCCAGGGCCTCTAGGCTTGAGGAACTAGGGCAGAAGGTCGTAGGGCAGGCGCCGGCCAGGTCCTGCCTCCCTGGCTCGGAGTGACCTCCACCCTCACCTTGAAGTCGCTGATGTTGGTGCCGAAGTTGATCCTACCCATGTTCTCCACCAGCACATCCAGCACGGCGCCAGCCTGGCCTGTCACGTACAGCTGCCCTGGCCCGTCCCGCTCCAGCCGGCCCTGGTACTGCTGCAGAGGGCTGAAGTCAGGAGCAGACCCCCACCCAGCCCCGGGCCCCCTGGGGCGGGGAGAACGTGGAGCCATGGGGCAGCACTTGCCCAGCCCCCAGGCCCTTCCCTTGGTGCACGGCCCCGGCCTCGCCCCTTCCAGCCCCAACCCCTCATGGCTGGAGTTCACAGCTGGTGCCGGTGCCAGGCAGGGATCTCCGGGCCAGGCCTTACCCCATCCAGCAGCACATAGGCGAGGTCGCAGACGCTGTGCGGGGGAACGCTCAGGGGCACGGGGTCCCACACGTCCCGGGGCAGCCAGGTGCGGTACAGCACGAAGCCGTGGGCCTGCGGGGCACGGCAAAGCCATAAGAGCCAGCAGTTAGAGACACATCCACACACTGGGGCTCTGGGCCCCCTCCCCAGGGTCTGTGCCCAGCTGCTCACCTGCTTGATGGCCTCAAAGGTTAAGGGGAAGCGACTCGGGATGGGCCCGGCAGGGGACAGCAGGTCCAGCAGGTCCAGGAGCCCGGCGTACTGCGTGGGTGGGGAGGAGGGGTGAGAGGCTGGGTGCAGGCAGGCCCGAGGGGCACAGGGCAGGCAGGCACTCACCTTCCCCAGGGGTACGTAGCCATAGGCATGCTTGCGGGTGGCTGGTGGCATCGGGCCCTGCGGCACGGGCTGGAACTGAGCATCAGGACCTGTTAGGCGCTGGGCCAGGGCTCAGGACCCCCCAGGCTGAGGCCAAGGGAGGTGAGGGCTTCTCCCTCCCCTGGGCCTGGATGCTGCAGCACCCCCTGTCCGCAGACTCCAAGCCCTGGCTCCAGGCTGCGAGGTCCTGGGGGCAGAGGAAAGGGGCTGGGACCAGCCGGCGGCTCAGCACCTGGGCGATGACTTCCCGGATGGCGAAGAGCTTCTCGGTGGGGTCACCGGCCTCCGAGAGCGGCGCGTCGTAGTCATAGCTGGTGGTGACCGGCTTGTAGCGGCCCTTGTAGTCAGCACCTGGCCCGGGGGACAGTGCGGGGTGAAGGGGGTCGGCCTGCCTGGCAAGGTCACGGGCACGGGGGGCTCGGCCCCACGATAGGGACAAGCTCACCACTCCAGTAGCCGAAGTTAGTGCCTCCCTGGAACATATACCTGTGGGAGACAGGGTGGGGGTCAGAGCCCAGCACAGCCCCCCGACCACCCTGCCTGCGCCCCCTGGGCCTCAGCAAGGGGGGACTGCAGGCGGCTGGAGAGGCCAGTGAGGAGGGGGTCAGAGAGCAGCATCCAGAGCCCCCAGTGGTGGTGTAGAGGGCACGACCCGCGGGGCGCTGGATGGGCCAGACACCAGGGCCTGGCCCCTGTCAGTCATGGCTTGGCCCAGGGGCAAGGGAAGTCCGTGGGGCAGCCCCGGGCCCGGCCCCAACCCGATCTGACCCCCCCTGCGGTGCTCACATATTGACGCTGGCCCCCAGCTGCAGGATGTCGCGAAGCCCCCGGGCCACGGTGGCGGGGCTGCTGCCGGCGTGCGGCTCACCCCAATAGTCCAGCCAGCCCGTGTAGTACTCAGAGTTCACCTGGGGGTGGGACCGGGCATCACCTGGGCCCCCCTCCCCCTGGCCCCATTCCCATGGGCCCAGGGGCTCCCAGCATGGGGGGCACGGGTATGACGAGGGCACTAATCCCAGGAAGACCTCAGAGGAGGAGGGAGAACCCACGGGCTCCCCCGTAACTTCAGCCAGGTCGTGACCTGTGACCCCTGAGCCCAGGCACCTGCCCCAGGCCAGGACACGCATGAGGCTGCATCCTTAGCCCCACCCACACCCCCTCCCCAAGGCCAGCAGAGCCTGCCCAACGCCCCCTGCCCCAGCCCAGTCTCACCAGGGGGCCCTTGGGCTCGTAGAGCCGCTGGGGTGCGAAGGCCTCAGTGATGTTGGGGCCTGAAGGGAGCAGAGGGGCAGGTCAGATGGGGAAACCCCGGCCCTGCTCCTCCGTGGGTGGCACCCGAGCCCCCACCTGGCCCGAAGTCCACGGTGGCGTAGAGACCCTGCAGGGTGCCGCAGCGCAGCTCGGCCGCGCTGTTGCCGTCGGTGGTGAAGAGCAGCACGTCGGGGCCCAGCAGCGCACGGAAGACGCGCAGCAGGTGCTTCAGGTAGTTGTAGTCGCAGACCCGGGAGCTGCCGTACTCGTTCTCCACCTGCCCGGGGCGGCACGGTGAGACCTGGAGACCAGCACCCCTCGCCCACCCCACAGCCCCCAACAGCTCTGCTGGGGCCCCTCACTCCCAACCCGCAGCCCCCACGTCTCTCCCGTCGCCTCCCTTGTGGGTCGTGTCTCCCCCTCCATGCCCCCTGCTCTCCAGACCCCTGGGCCCGCCGGATGCCCTGGGACCCCCATCCTGTGTGGCGCGGCTCAGAGGTGCTGCAGCCAGGGGCAAGCATGGAGAAAAGAGGCTGGGCGGGTGGGGAGCTGGGGCACCCATGGGCGCCGGCCCCTCACCTGGACGCTGATGATGTTCCCCCCGTTGTGGTACAGCCGGGGCCGCACCTTGGGCAGCAGGACGCTGAGCCAGGAGTCCACGGCGTGCAGGTAG